GAGTCTTTGATGGGAAAAGCTGTTCATCAACGGTGATATGTAGACCAGGGTTGTAGCACACCCCCACTACCCTCCCTCCAGAATTCCCAGATAACGACCCGATTTACATATGAATGACTAGACAATTTAGCTTCCACTTGGCTGAAGCTAAAGCTTAGCTAAAAGCCTACCAGCCATTTGGCTGCTCTCGGGTTTTATAGGTAGAAAGGTAGAAGCCTGGGGGTGCTAGTGTTTTAAGCCTTTCAGAGATGTTCACAAACTACACCTAAATAAGTAAAATAAACCAGAAAAGTAAGTCCTATAATAGCCAAGAAAGACATAATGATGTCAAAAGACACAACAAGTCACAACCAAGTAAAAAGAAAAAATATATAAACATATAGTTAAACAAATAAAAGATTCAGTGAAGTTCTCAACAGAAAGCGTGTTTAAACAATTTCAGGGAGATTATCCATGTTCTTACCTGTAAAACTGAGGTTTCACTTCCCGTGTGACGTATCTGTAAAACAGAACATTTCATCTGTTACACAACTGTGTAAATCCAGAAACGCGGGTCAGAATTAAGCCAAAGAGACAATCAAACTGCTGACAAACACTGACAAAACAAGAAGGGATGACCTCTCACCTTTATCATTATCACACTGAGACCATATCAGTTCCACTCCCAGTGACACATCCACACAGTCATCACCTGACCTAAATAACTTTATGATTGGTTTCTTTATTCTAACATGATTTAAGAGCCATTTATTATTAAAATATGTAACATGTTACACTAGAACTGTTTTTGCTGTGTTTAGTTTATCTGCAAAAGTTTCAACAGCTGATGAAAAATGTAAATCATGTAAATCCAGAAAACTGGGAGGGTAAAAAGTGAAAACAGCTGCTGAAAATAAAGTAAAAGAAATCTTTTGCGACACTTGTGATGAAATGTTAAAGAATAACAATCTGTTCTTATTTAGCTTGTTTGGTTAGTATGAGGCGATGAAATGTTAGCAGTTCGAGTTAAACAACTCTTAAATGTTGACTGTAGTGAGATCAATGTGCCAACTGATAACTAGCTTCAGGAAGGAACCTGGTGTGTTGCATTTCTGCTCATAAAGCCGTTAAAAACACTGTGTGCAATGCCACAATGTGTCAGAGCATGTGCTTCCTCATTTTGTTTACATGTTTGTTGTGTTTACAAGGTTCTATAATACAGGCAAATTATTACATGCTGTTACCCTGTCAGACCAGGGGTGCCGCTAATGAGGCTGGATAAGAGAGAGGGGAGAAGAAGAAAGTAGAGGTAACAAGATGGAGTGCCGCTGTAAAGCCTGAAATAAAGTGTTGAACCCAGACGTCGCCTCCGCTACCCGATTACAAACTCAACAATGTTGTGCTATGAACAAGCAGCAGCATTAGCATTTAAGCAGCTAAATGATTTACAAACGGTCAAATGGAGTGAAAATTAAACATGTATTATTTTAGAGAAATTCAAGCAGATGATCACATCCCACAGAGAGAAAAGACTCCATGAAATCCTCATTATGTATATATAACAGCAGGTCCACAGTCTCAAAGAGAAAGATTCAGAGACTCCAGTCTTCTTCGTGTGCTTCTTTCTGCACTAAAACTTCCCGGTTATTCAATTGAGATATCGGTCACACATCAAAGCAGAACCGCCGACTGTGTGAACAGCTGAGTGAAGCGTGTCCTCTTCTTCTATGAAGCCACTTTCAGGTGTGTTTGTGCCTCTTACTCCATGAGTGAATGCAGTCTGTCCAGTCTGCTTTCAGAAATGATCAGCAATGACATCAGTTTCGCTTCCTCGATCTGTGATCTGATTGGTTAAAACGTCAGATATGCACGGGATTATGATTTTATGAAAGTTAAGGAATGCCTTTCATGCGGACATAAATTGGACATAATCTGAATGGAAATTCCCACAGAAATGATTTTGTCCTTACAGGGCATGTCTGAACAATGTTATATCATGAAGAAAATTTTAAAAAATCTATACACATTCTTCTGCCTTGGCTTCTTGCCACCGTCCAAAGACATGCAGTTTGTGGAGATAGGTTAATTGGATAATCCAAATTGCCA